TCTTTTGGCAAAGTATTATCGTGATTCCAGTGTTTAAAACGATTTTTCTGTAATATTCAAGTCCGGTCATTCTGAATCACGAATCTTTTTGTTTTCTTTACAAAGTATTGTTTTACTGCTTTTATTACGATTATTACGTTGAAACATGTACTTATTTCCGATATTATTCGAGTCGCGTACGTATCAATTGTTTGTCAATTTTAATATACTTTTTACCATTTAATTTTCCTGCAATAAATTGTATCTCTATCTTATCTCAATAACCAATACCTCGCAAAATCGTTATATCGCAACTTTCCACGAATCGACGACTCAGAAGTTATTTCTTCCGTGAATCATGATCTCAGTGGTAAATCAAGTCTAAATCCAATCTCTTTTCACCGGTAAATACGACTCTCCGCTGTTTCTTATATAATTAAAAAAGTAGCACAAATTTGTGAACGCTCAAATTTTGAAAATTGTCTGGAAAAAAAAATGATTTTCAAAACGTAATGAAAAAAATCGTTCGAGCTTAGATTTAATGGGAAATTAATGAAATTAGTCTCTTTCTTTCTTGCATTTTGCAAAGGAAAAGAAAAAAAAAAGGAAGTAACTTTTGGCCCACCCTGTACATACTTACACTACTCTTACACAATGTAAGAGAATATAGAGCGTGTTATCGTTTCGTCCCCGCTGGAAAATTCGTTGCGCGCGACGTATTAAACGATAAATTCGCGCGTTCTCGAGGAACGGGACGTTTTTTAATATCTCAGTTCTCGGTTTTCCCAGTTTGTTGACACGGTGGAGAGCGACACGACGCTCCCGCTGTTTGTCAACGTCGGGTTTCCCCCGATTGATATATATATATATATACACATAAACTAGAGACCAAAAGACTCTAAAGCTTGGAAGCCGATTAATAGGGTTGGCGCAGCGAGGTATGAAACGCCGCGTCTTATTTTGCGTCGCGGTTTCGCGAAACAGCCCCGAGGGCAGCCGGCGGAATCGGCCAATTCCTCGCTTATAAAACGTTCATAAACGGCCCCGCGATGAAAATGTGCAGCGCCGCCGCGTTGCATTCGCGGCAATTTCCCTCCTTGTTGCGAGATCTTCCCCCCCGCCTGCCTCGGTGGTGACAAATCGGCTTGAAATTTCCATCGCGCTCTCTCTCTCTCCTTCGCCGAGTCCGGTATTAATTTCATCAGGGCGGCGCCCCGGTTTCGTTCTCGTCGTTTTTCCCCTGGTTTTTATCGGTAGACTTGCGCTCGCCGCCACCCTCCCCGCCCCCCTAGCCAGTAAATAAACTTTCGAAAATTTCCTTCCGTGTTTTGCTGTTGTTGCCGTGCAAAAAGCGTGAAGCGACGAGGCGTTTCAACTACCTCCGGGGAAACTTTTCCTTCGAGCGCCTCTCCTTCCGGCCAGTTCCGCTTCCCCCTGGCCGAGAATCGAAATATTCCTTTACGGTTTTGCGGCAGTCAAGGGGGCAACCCTAGCGTGGAGGACAATGGCCAATGGAAAAAAAAAAAGAAAAAGAAAAAGAAAAAGAAAAGAAAGAACGCGGCAATCGTCGAGTCTCTCACGAAACGAAACGAACCGCCACGCCACGCTACGCCATGGCGCGTTCGAAAAGTTTAACGGTATTTCGAATTTCGCGTCGATTAAAGTTTAATCTGTCACCGGAAGCAACGTTACCGCCGCGCCAAAGTTACTAGGAACGTATGACGTTAATTCGCTTGAAATTGAAACGCCGTGCCTCGCCGCCCACCTGGCGAAAGAAGCTCAAATATATGTGCATAAATACACCGATACGTGTTACGTATGCATGCATGCATGCATGCATGCATGCATGCATATACGTGTGTGTGTATATATGTGCGTGTGTATGCACATACGCCGAGTTGCGCGCAAAGAGTTAATCACTCGCGGCAGAATGCGTAATTTCGTTTCGTTATTCGGCTGCGAGCTTAATGAATTGTGTACCTGGCGAGAAGCTGCCAGTTGCGCGAGAGAAGAGCTTTGTCGTCCGCGCGATAAATTTTTCGATTTATTCCATTTCCACACATTTTCGACGGACGCAATACACCTCTCCCCAGATACTATACTCTCTGCCACGAGAGTGCCGTCCCGATAAGTTATTCCCGAAGAAGCAGTAGGCAGAGGTGAAACAGAGACAGATGCAGAGGACTGGCGGCAAAAAGCCGCTGACATCTGCCACGAGCATCCACGCGGTCCATTTGTCGCGACGAGATCTTCCCGAAATCTCCAATTCTCTTATCGTCTCCCTGCATGGACCGTACTTTATTCGGCAGCTTTATTCGTAAAACACCCAGCTAATTAACCTTCTGCGCTGGAATGACGTGCCACGCACAATCGAGAATTTTTTGTCCCAAATTGCAACATTTTCTCCGTTTCAAGTATATTTAAGTGTAACCCGGGCAAAACAGATAATAAATTTATTTACTTCGCAGTAATTTCTATCCGGTGATATCATACCGACGAGTTCAAAAGAAAAAGAAAGCGACAAATTATTGTGTACGGTTCGGTCACTCGTTACGGTCCGCAATCAGTTAACCTCTTGCGCTGGAATGACGTGCCACGCACGTC